ATTCAAAAAGGGTTTCGACAAGAGCAGAAATTTACGAGAAAAGGATTGAGATAGGCTCTAAGCCTTCTATCCTCAACCAATAAGTCTGAATCTGTTTGATCCACTGCCAAAAGTGTGCTAATCTGAAGTCTAAATCAGCGCATTTTTCAGATATTACGCTACCCTTGGAATCTCTGTGGGATTATAACTAATTCCAGGCTTTCTTGTATCTGAGGTAACATAGTATTGCATATTTTATCAGAATATCATTAACTGCTTGGTGTTCAAACAACGTTTCGCGTAAGACTTCATAGGAAAGCTTACGGTGGGGAAGTGATTATTGTTGTCTAATAATAAACATATGAATGTAGTAGTTTATTGACACTTTAAAATCATATATTTAGCTTTCTTGTGTGTTTTATTTAAGCTCATTTATTATTCTTATAAATATTTAGTGTTTTGGTAGTGTGGGCAACGTATTTTGGTAGCTGAACATCTGGAAACTTACTTACTTTACTTTACTTCGGCTATCTCCTACGGGAGGATGAGCCGGCTTCATGAACGTCTCGAATCGTCGCTGCCCAGGCGCGGCAATTTGTAAGAGAGTTCATGAAGTTTCATGGGAATTTGGTACGAGTGATGTCCCCAGCATCGCTCGGCCTTTTGTTTGAGAGTGCAGCTCTAGCCTTTACACAGCCAAGTGTGACCTACAAGGCAGTAGGAGTGGAGTAAGGAGTCCACTATCCATTGACAGCCGGTGACCGGAGTTCGGTTCATACGCCTTTTTGAGTGGGGCCAGACATCCAGGACATCCAACAAGCCCTTTGTCCATACGTCTGCCGGTGAGCTCCCGTGAGCTTCATACGCCAGTCGTTGGAGGTTTGGAATCAGGGTTTAGCCATCTCCCCTAGACCGTCATCCAATGGACAGTCAACCCGGTGGAGAGCGCCGGGCATCCGCTTTCCCCCTCTCACTTTGGTGAAAAAACACCTCCGCCACGTGAAGGCAGTGAGTAGGACTTCCTCAGGAGAGGCTATGTAAGACGCCCGGTCATATGGGAGCAGTTCAAGAGGTGTGTGGAGGGGTGGCCAACCCGCAGCGCAAGGCACCCACCCCCGACCATCCTGAGGGTTTGGAAACTCTACCTCACGATCAAGAAGCGAGCTCAAAGAAATCACTGGTTTATACTAGCTCGTAATCAGGATATTGGATATTGGATATATTAGATGCTTTACTAAAGGTTCCACTGTGTGCTTGTTATTTATCCACTTTTTTGTCAGCTACAGTGCCTAGTGTTGCCTCTGATTATCTTCTTCATCGTATCAAAGTATATGAATTATCGATTTATGTGATTTTTGTTTAAAGACTACTTTTAAGTGGTCATACACGGTGCACGATAAACACCAAACCGAAATATGTTAATTTTGCTTGTGTTTCGTTCAAACATGTTCACATATCAACCCCATCACTTTGTTGGCGTAAGTCTAGATCCTTCTCTTCCGAATCTTGAGCATCCAATATTGTTTTTTACGTGCTGGTATAAACCAATCTGATTTCTTTTGTGATCGCATCCTACCGAGTGTGGCATAGCAACTTGATAAAACTAGTTCAAGCCTCATATATTTCAACCTTTGTACCTATTGTGTTGCATGGAGAAATGTTCCGAAGTAAAAATTTGAAGACAAACTGAGGCGTTCTTAAAGTGCACAAATTTGTGTCCTATCTAGATCGTGGTGCAGCTCTGCAACGCTAATAAGAGCAAACACAGCACTTTGTATATCACCACTGAGGTTGTTATTGTTAGACTTCACAAAAATAGTTTGCTACGCTACATATCGAAGACATATTGGGTATAAGCAAGCAGCTGAAGCAGTGCGGCTCACGTGATTTTCTGTCCCATAACTATCAAAACTAGTGACAGCTTTTACGAGAGAAGTGCTCATGGAATCCAGAGTTGTGGTCAGTACACTTGGTGTACAGTTCTTTTCACCAAGCTCAATTTGCAGTGGTCATTTCTGTCTAGAAGCAGCGAATCCCCCATGGCTTTATTATTCACTACAACTCATTAAATTCGGTATTCAATTGACAAAAAGGTTAGAAGTAATCATTTTTGTTCCTAGTGTCTCCGTATACAATATCAGTAATCATGACGTAAATCTGTTTAATTTGTCATTGCCATTGGTGAGTTCGAAATAGATGACCTTTTATCCTCTGGGCAGTATAAAGAGCACAAAGAAGATAGCTGTTGCTAAAGGCCTTCTTTTTACAGAACAAGAACGCTAAACGACTACGTCAAAAAGGATGCAATCAGTACTTGATCTAAAAATTTAGAATGACATAAACTTTATTTTCGACACCGAAGGCGCTATGCATTGTCGTTGGGGTTCTAACCCGTATACAGTCCATTTCAGAATTTAGGAACGCATGTGAAAATTGTGAAAACTTATTTGTGGCGCCGAGTAACTGCCTTTCGGGAACTGCTGAAATATGCGCACTAAGAAGTTAACAGGTCATTTTAGGCCCATGTTTAGATTTACTGTGCTGTTTCAAAGTTATGTTTTGCCCAACAATTAGTCTTTGTCGGTGAAAATACATTTCCTACAATCAATTCATGTGACAAATATGCCAAAACAATTATTTTATAGTGGTACTAGGTGTTTTTTAAGTCCTGCTTTACTTATTGAAATAGGTCCATGAGTGTTCCAGCCTAACCTTTTTGATCTGTGTGCAGATTCTAAAGTTTACGTCATTGTTAATTTACACCATCTAGTTGCCTTGGAATTTAAGCGACCTATTATCAATGTCTTGCATGCGATTCCGTTTATTGCAATCCATATGCCATTTTCAGTATCACTCATCAAACGCCAAGTGATTTGAAACATGAAACATGTTTGCTGAGATTATTAGTTTTGTCTGTTTAATTTCGTAAACCAAGTGGTGAAGTATATTTCATAGAAAACGTTAATTTTTCGAAAGAAGGGTTGTAGGGCAGTATAGAAAACATGCGATAATTAGTAGGAGTGGTGTTTATTTATAGATTTATTACTCTGCTGGTATAGTGTTTATTTGTGATCCTACTCAATTTCAATTGAATGAATGTCGGAATATAGAATTGTCGACAAACCAACTCTTTTTGTTTGTATTTTTATTAGTAACAAAATAGGTATTCAGCTTTTATTTGTAAACAGTTGGAAAATGTTGATATATGTAAACTTCGTGAAAGATATTCGGATAATTTCAGTGACGGTTACTCAGTTGTTACCATTTAGTATGAGGCAGCAACTTCTCTCTCTCTCTCTCTATATATATATATATATATATATGTATATATATATATATATATATATATATATACAATCACAAGGTTGGTAAGAGATTGTATCCACACTCCTTTTCTTAGGTCAGCTGTCAGAAATATTCTAATATTTCGTGTATATAATTAGTTGTTTTAGTACAGGTTGAGGTGTGACGAATGAAATCTCCAATAGTATATAGAAAGTCAGGGGAACATGCGCGTTGCTTGTCTGAAGAACGAAGGTATGTGCTGCCTCAAACTCCGTCAGTGAATCGTGGCCCCTCCTGACTGAAGATTTTTTGCAGCTCCTCGTGTATTTAGAGATGGTGGATACTGTTTTGTAAAAGTGTTCATATTGGGTGCGGTCCGACTTGTCATGCACCTACGTTGCTGGAGACATAACATAGGGTCCAGTATTAAGATCAAGGAAGGAAGTGTTGCAGTCCCCTTCTTACTATTTCTTAGTATAAATCAGCATTGTTTTAAATGACCTTGGTAAATATACATGCGTGTTTTTCGTCTGTTGGTCCTCGACCAGTTTATTCTTCTCTCCTTTATATTGTTTCATTGCTTAATGCGGTGCATTTCTTGCTGCCCATACAGCAATAAGTTTGTATTTTTCAATAGATAAAAATATTTTGAGTCAGTGGAACTTGGATTTGGACCTTACTCCATCTACTCCAGCTTCATTGAAAAAGTACTATCATTAGCCCTCAAATAATAAGACTGACTGGTTTCAAATAGAACGTTGCACAGAAGTGAAACAGTTCGAGTTGCTAAGCTTTAGCACACATAGGAAGATGAACGAGATTCGAATGAACGTCAATAAGCAGAAATGTGACAGTAACATGGAAAAACATGACGGTTTGGTAGATATAGAGGAACACAGAGAATCATTGCATCTTCGCTATTGAGAATTATTTTGAACTATATTACTAGTCGCCTCCAGCCATCGGTTTTCAGAATCCTGAGGACCCCAGCGAGATAGCTTACACTTCCCTACTTTGCTCAAACTAACTGTTAAAGAAATCATGGACTGATGCCATATTTTCGTTTGACTATCACTAGCTCTTTCCCAGTCTGACCCTATGTCAGCTAACTGCTTGTCGACGAGCTTTGTGGCTAGGCACACGTAACACAGCCTTTTCATGTCTTCCACTTTCAATGACCATGTCTCACAACCATAAAAGAGGTCCGAGTGAACTGCTAAGCAGTACACACGATAGCCGGACATCATGTCTATGCCAGAGATTGTGGAAGTTGGTTAACGTAACACGAGTCTTTTCTTTCTGTCCTGAGATTTCGTCAGAAAGTAGCCGTCTGAGGCTGTCAAATAATGAGTGTAGCTCATAGTCACATACTTACCAAATATGCCCTATTCAGCGGATTTCTGTTTCTGTGCTAAGCACTTAAGAAAAGTATGCATTCATTTGCAGACTTGTGCCTATCTTTTGTCAGCTGACTACTATTTCGCCAGAGGATATTCATAAGTTGTGTGAATTCACAATTGTCGATTGGTGAGTTGAAAGGAAACGATCGTATCCTAAGGGTGTTAACAGCTATAATAAAGAGTATCGAATTCGCAACTTGATTTCAATCTACTCACTAAATATATGTTTCTGTGTTACGTAAGTCATTAAATCGATTGATTGTCTTATTTAAAAGTGATTTTTGCCAACAGTTAAAGTAATTTTTTTGTTTTTGCTTTTTTTGTTTAGATTGTAGGATGAATAATGGCAGTAGTGATGGTGCCAATATACCAAATTATACAGAATTAGGGAATTATATTCCAACGGGATATCAAGAAGATTATGATTATGAATTACCACAGAATGCTACTGCTGGTGGCAGCCGCTTGCCCATTTCACAAACTATGTTAAGTCAAGTTGATGAGAAACCAAAAATCCTATTGATGGGTTTAAGAAGGTTTGATGACATTCCGTCCGTTTGAATTTTTTCTTTTTTATCTTAATAGAAGCGGAAAGTCATCAATTCAGCGAGTTGTTTTCCATAAAATGGCTCCAAATGAAACCCTATTCTTAGAAAGTACACACAAAATTGAAAAGAATGGTAATGACTCTTTAGTTTTTTTGTTGTTTTAACTTTCTAACGAACTTTTCTTTCTAGATGTTTCTGATTGTTCCTTTATTAAATTTCAAATCTGGGATTTTCCTGGTCACATTGATTTTTGTGATGAAACATTTCAATCTGAAGCGATATTTTTAGCTTCTTGTGCTATTATATTTATTATCGATGCTCAAGTAAGCTAAACAACCATTATTGATCCTAATATACATATATATATATATATATATATATATATATATATACCTTATATGATTCTATCTGTCAGTTTTCGACATAGAACTTTGCACATATGTGCTGCAGTTCAAGTCGCCACACTCCATGTAGCACACAAAGCAAGGGAAGAAAGTAGAAGAAATGCATAATAGAGACAGTAAACAGAGGTGTGAGATAAAGGAATAGTAATAACGAAGAACAATATAGTTTCATTGGAAATCATAAGTCACAAGGAGTGGATGCATCTCCGCCATTGAGAACGATTTTGAGCCGTATCAGCAATTGTTTCCAACCATTGGTTTTTACCGTCCCGAGGACTCCAACCAGCCAGGCAGTCTACACCATCCTACGTAGCTGGCTTAAACTAACTGTTGTGGATTTCATTGACTGGTGCCATGTTTTTGTTTAACCTCCGCTAGCTCTTTTCCAGCCTGACCCTATGTCAGATAACACTGGCGTCGATGGAGGAAGGCTATGACTAGGCATACGTAACACGTGTCCTAACCATCTAATTCGATGTAATTTCACAACCTCGTCGATTGATTTCGCCTCCCACTTACCTAGCACTCGACCGATGCCTAACCTCAATATCGCTCACCTTATTATACCACTTCACACGGAAGATAGAGCTCAGGCACCTTTGATCATGTCTTCCACTCTCAATGGCCAGGACTCGCAGCCAGCCATAAAGGAGGATGGAGCGGACTACTGAGCAGTACACCCGCCCTTTGGTCGATAGCCGGATATCACTTCTACGCCAGAGACGGCGTAAATTGGCATATGCGAACCTAGCCGTCTGCATCCGTGCTGAGATTTCGTCAGAGATCAACCCGTTAGGGCTGATGGTACTTCCCAAATAAGTGAAGCGGTCAACATGCTCTACCACTTCGCTCTCTATTTCTAAACTAGGAGTCAGTGTAGTCCAGTCCTGTAACATCATCTTGCATTTGGCGGGAGTTGATTGAATATGAGTTGTAAACCTGAGTTGCAGCAGGACCTGAGCAAGTCCGATAAATGACGTGGTGCTTCTTTCATTAACTTAAATACAGGAAACACAACAGTTTGTGTAGGATATTAGAATACCTTCTGACTTTGACGATTTTCGTCTGCTTGAAACAATTTCAAATACCAAAATGCAGATTAATAACATTACAGTATTGCTACTGTATCGTTTGATATTATATCAAATAAAGTTATGTAGTATGATATTGTATTATTATACCACAGTGTTCAAATGTGTTACAGAAGTAAAACCCGACGCGTGTAATGTATTGTATATAAAATGACAAGTGGTGCTTGTGAACTTGTTCTCCAGAGACATGAGTTAGACAAATATTCTAAGATTATGAAGCGAGACTTGAAGATAAATGGAACATATATCAATTATCAAGTATTGGTTTTTGTAGGGATTTTGTTTGATTGCATGGAGGATTTAATCATGAGCTGACATCAGTTAGAGAACCACTGGAAAACCTGGGAGTACTGGACAGCTGTTTCGTCCTAGTTTTGAGGAGTCCCAAACTAGGACGAAACAGCTGTCCAGTACTCCCAGGTTTTCCAGTGGTTCTCTAACTGATGTCAGCTCATGATTAAATCCTCCATGCAATCAAACAAAATCCCTACAAAAACTAATACTTGAAAATTCATCTGATGCTCACTAGTGACTGGCCCTATTCAGGCAGTTAACCTGGGGTTCTAGTGGGAAGCCGTGACCAGTAGGGTACAGCAGGTTGAAGATGAGGCAGTAACTCATCGGAGAAGACATTGCGAAGTGGTCGCGCTATATCGTGAACTGGCAGAAGTTAGAATTCAAGGACCATTGGATCGGGTCCCAGTGGCTCAATGGTCTACGAGCTCGCCTTGTAACCAGATGGTCCTGGGTTCGAATCCCGGTGGGTGCGTACTGCTGAGGAGTCCCAAACTAGGACGAAACATGTGTCCAGTACTCCCAGGTTTTCCAGTGGTTCTCTAACTGATGTCAGCTCATGATTAAATCCTCCATATATCAATTAGTCAGTCAGTCCCATGTTACGTAGGAACTATGAAAGTTACGGGACTCAAACTAATTCAAATAATATGAGTATAAATTGGACGATAAGATTAAGGGTATGAATCAAAGCAAATAATAAACAGTAGAAAGTTATTTTTTCTTCAGGTTGGTTTGGCATTTCCCGTTTATTGGTTATATTGGACGTGAGTGTTCGACCTCTGTTGACATATCGGCCCTCGTGGGCCTAGTGAGTAATGCTTTGGCATTTGGAACGATGAGTTCAGGTCTCAGTGGGAACACCATCACTTACTGGGAATGCAGGCACATTCAGCAGACGAGTCCGAAGTAAGACGAAACACATATCTTGAATTCCAGTGCTAGTCATCACTATCCATTAACTTCAAGTATATACATACATGACAAATGTGTGACTCTAAGATGTAACATCTTTTCGCAATACAATCACTTTTCATTTGATAAATAGTGGTCACACATTTGTTGTCGTGAAATCGTTTAAGATAATTAATGCCCTATTGTTTTGAGTTTACCACTTTCTACTAATTATTATTATTACTTGTCGTTCCTCGCGTTTCAGGTGAAGTGTAGTACTTGAACAATACAACTCCATTTCACTCGGTTCCCTGCCGTCATTTTCGACTGGCTTAAGGTTTGCTCACCTGGTCTCCCCCGTGTCACCATCAGACGCCCAACTCGTGAATTCCTATTCGGATTTCATTTGGGAGTCAGGCGTGTGATGTTACTTATATATCGCCTCCTCTTGCCCTACTTTTTACTAAAGCTTTAGCTATTAAACGATAAGGACCGAATTTGTGTACTAGACTAAATATTTCAGGATTTCATCATGAACTGACATCGGTTAGAGGACCACTGGAAAACCTAGGAGTACTAGGCAGCTGTTTCGCCCTAGCTTGGGACTCCTCATCGAACCCAGGACCTGCTGGTTACCAGACGACCTCGTAGGCCATTAAGCTTCTGGGACCCTATCTAGTGGTCCATGAATTCCAACTTCTGCCAATTCATTATATAGCGCGACCACTAGAGTTCGGACCCAGGTAGGTGCAAACTACTGAAGATTCTCGAACCGGGACAACAGAAACGGTTGTCCAGTACTCCCTGTTGGTTTTTTCAATGGTCCTCTAGCCGATGTCAGTTCATGCTGAAATCCTGAAACTAATCAAATCCCTGCAAACCAACACTTGGAAGTGACTGTTTGTTATATTTAGGCTTTTAATACCATTTGTTATTGTGTGTACGACTTATCTGACTGAACTAGACTTTGCCCACCAATTGGAGTTTCAGCCATCTCATACTGTGTGACTAATTTTCAATCAATAATGTGCTCATGTTTCTTCAGGAATACTTCTCTATATTTTTCTAAGAAGGTTTATACATTCTTAAGTAAAGTATATATATATATATATATATATATATATATATATATATATATATATATATATATATATATATGTATATCACATGAATAAATTCTGTGTGTGTTCACCTTTTAATCTATAGGATGATTATCATGAAGCGTTAACTCGTCTACATGTCACTTTAGAATCAGCATTTCGTTATAATATGAATATTAAATTCGAAGTATTCATCCATAAAGTGGACTGTTTAACAGATGATCAGAAAATGGATATCCAACGTGATATTACACAACGTGTAACTGGTGTCCTAGAAGATCTACTCTGTGAACAACCATCAAATGCTGGAATTAGTATAGGGTAAGTATATTTTTCAATGTCATTTGCTTAAAATTGGATGTTAACTCTGTAAACATGTTTTACATACCAATTAACTTCTCTATGGAGTAATGTAAATTTCAGATGGTTTGGTAAATAACTGCTACTACTCTGGTGTGGTGGTGAGACTTACATGCTGAAGTATTTCGAAGAACTACAATGGATTGAATGCTTGTTCGTGGAGATTTTACAAAGTTGAAAAGTTGGATAGGAAAACAGACACTCGATATCATAGTGTAGGCTACTGATACCTCGGTGGGCTCCGAAGGATTTTACTGCTGATCAAAGGACATTATGATAGCACTAAGGTTTTTTTTCTTCAATGGTGAGTAAGCCACTGATAGTATTTCCGTTTCTTAGAAAGTGAAATCAATTAAGGTTGGGGGATTGTTCAACTGCTGTAGTGACATTAATTTACAGAGTAGAAGACTCACAGCTTGACTTATTTTCACTAGTGCTGTTCTGCAAAATAGGCGCATAAGTCTGAGAAAAAGAAACGCGTGAATGCCTTTTAGTCTTCTCTGCTTGCCCTTCAATCAAATACTGTTAAAATGAAGTGAGGAATATGTTTTATCAGAAGTTGGTTGCACAAAGTAAAACACTTTGACGTGGTCATACAAACACGAGATTTTAATGCTGAAGCTGTATAAGGCTGTGTGAGGTACCTACGGGGTTTGATATCGACGATTTGACTATAAGTAACACCTTTTATATTATTGTACACCTGTGGGTCATTTTAGTAGTCTATGTATATGCGTGTGTGTATGACTACAACAAGCCCTTATATTCTTAACCTTGGTAATGTTATAATAAACAATCAATTGTGTTAGCAATGGTATCCAGTCAATAATACTGTTTCACTGTGTGATATATCCAATAAACAAATTAATAAGGAAAACAACTGAATCCTTGGTAGTCTGTCTGTCTGTTTTCGACATAGAACTTTGCACAAATGTGCGGAAGTTCAAGTCGCCACACTCCGTGTAGCACGCGAAGCAAGAGAAGAAAGTACGAGAAAAGCATAATAGAAACAGTGAGCAGAGGTGTGAGACAAAGGAGTAATAAAGAAATACAAAACAGTTTCATTGAAGATCATAAGTCACAGGGAGTGGATGCATCTGCGCCACTGAGAACGATTTTGAGCCATGTCATCAATTGTTTCCAACCGTAGATTTTTACCGTCCCGAGGACCCCAGCCTGGAAGTCTACACCTTTCTACGTGGCTTAGACCAACTGTTGGGGATTTCATTGACTGATGCCAAGTTTTTGTTTGACCGCCGCTAGCTTTTTTCCAGCCTGACCCTATATCCGCTAACATAGTTCGTCGAGGGAGGCGATGGCTTGGCATACGTAACACATGTCCTAACCATCTCAGTCCTTGGTAGTACAGTGGCCTTACCTCGTGGGAAAGCGAGGAAGACTGTGGCGTGTGCTACTGATAAGATTTATCAGTAGTATATAAGGCGACGTTCATCGACATAAAAACACCAAACAGCAAAGAGATAGATTTGATGTCAAAGAAAGCAAATGATACAGCGTTGCGGAGGTACATGGGAGCCTTGAAAGGAACGCAAAAGACACTATATAAAGACCAAAAGTAGCAGGCACCACACGGAAGATCGGTGCAAATGGTGTACATAAATTTGCTATATAAAGATACTAAATTTCAAATAAACATTCGTTTACAAAGTCTTTCGTCTTCTGCCATTACAAGACTACACAAAATAAGTCCCATAAAGATCAGTTCAAAGCTATTATCCAGGTATCTGCTTTTGATTTCCTCACTCGTTTGAAATTCGCTCGCCTCTAGATATGTAACATGACAGTGATCAATGCACATACAGTTCTTTGGTAACAAATTTTGGTGATCATAATGTTCACCTTTTTCCTAAGCAAATTTGATAGCTTCTTGAAATGATATAATTTATCCAGTCTAGCTCGTTTCATTCGATTTATCCTTGTTCTTGCTAAATGAATTCTTATCTACCTACATAATGATCTTGTTTCTTGAATGTTCTTGAACTGCCCTATTCGTGTGTTGATAGTTTTTCAATCTTCAATGTGTGCAGGAGCGTCTGCTCGCCTATTGACTTTTTGTTTGTTAGTTGTAAATATCCCTGTGGTGGAAATACCGAAGTACTTCTTTTTATAAAAAATTGTCAAGGTAGCAAAATGCATAGGATCGCTAAGACTGTGTGTGCAAATCGTTTACATGCTATTACTGAGAGAATTTCACATGGTGTTTTGATTCCATTTAAGTTTGATGACTACTGAAGGTCTAAGTTTCACTCAAAATTCAAGTGAATAATAATGATAAGTTTGATGATGGCGGTTCTATATGTGACCAGTCACGATGTTTTATATATGATCAGCGTGCTTGTAATATTGAGTATTGATGATCACAATAGTATATTGAGACAGTGTTAAAATGTGAAAATATTTCATGTAGACCAATCTTTCAAACAAAATGTATAACTTGGATGACTTTCATGAAACAAATAGCCTACGGTCAACTGAATACTGTGGTTACATGTCACTGATGGATAACATATTTAGATGAAGTGTTCAAAGATTTCTGTGGAATTGAAGTCCGGTTAACGCTTCTTAGTTATGGCTATCCGGGACAGAATTCTCATGTACTTAGCTACAAGCAACACACATACAGTGTGACGGCTGTTAATACGGTAACGACAGAAGACAAGAGCCAGGCAACAGATCGTTTATTGAGAAAATCAAGGGATGTTTATTTATTTTGATGTACATTATTATTAGCTTTATTGTTAGCAGAGGAGGGATGCCTTCTTATTGACTGTTTTCTTGCTGGAGGTTATTCTGTACTGCTTGTGCCAGTTTCTTAGAAAGTTGAGCCATATATCTACGAATTATATTTGCACACGTTATGTCTTCTGTGATTGGTTGTTGACACTTCCTCAAGGTTAAGCTGTTTTTTCTCATGACCCCCGATTCGGGACGCAAACATTGACACAAACTGTTGTCTATAATTTCGGCTTGTAGACTGTGACCAGAGTGGATGGGACGGGATTCAAACCTACGACCTCCTGTCTATAAGTTGAATGATCAAGCCACGAAGCCAAATCTTTGTATCTCCTAGTTCACTAAGTTAGACTTGTGTTGTAATCCGGACGAAGAATCTTAACATACTTCGATTTGATTTTATCACCCTTGAATTATGGTTGTTAAATGTCATAAAGTGACTTTAAAACATCATTTAGATGGTGAATTTGTTTCTTATTGTCTTTATTCCAACAGATTCCATCTAACTACCATATATGATCATTCAATTTTTGAAGCTTTTAGTAAAGTAGTGCAGAAATTAATTCCCTACTTAGATGCATTTGAGCATCTATTGAATATATTCATCACGGTAAGCGGTATCATTCCATATTTTTGCTTATTATTTGCCTTTTTTCTTAACAAACTGATAGAAAATGCGCACTAAGGGATGCACCACACAAAATGTGTAAAAGATGCAGATTAATTGAGTAACAGAATTATAAGTGTTAAGCATACTAATCAAGAGCATTCAAGGGACGTTCATCGCTTTGTGTTTCTTTCAGAAAGAGAATATTGCAGGTCATACTTGTTGATATTTTGAGTCATTGGTTCGAACTCATCCAAGGGTTGTGAAATGCCAAAAATAGTAACTTAAATATCCTTTATCTCAAGGTGTTACATCATGAGCTGACCACGCCTCTACATATTTACCATTTGTCAGGGTTAGGAAACATCGAACGGTAAGTAAGCCGTTGGAATGACGACATTTATTGACATATGGCATCCATTGTGTACAGATACGCCGCCGGACCCTAGAATTGCTTGTATAATGATGCCATTGGATACAAGCAATTCTGTTACAGGCAATGGTTATCAAATCTGCAAAGCTGTTGCACATCCTCAGCCCAGAGGTGACATGTTTGGAAACAAAGGTGCGGTGCAACACTGTCGACCAACTTAACGTTGCGATGGCGCCGGAGGTGTCTCATGCTGACGTATGGCACCCTGACCTTCACTAAGTGACTGAAGTATATATAAACATATATGTTGGTAGCATATGTCTGACAAATTGAGATAATTGATTATTTTCTACCAAAAGACTGTCAGTCGCATTTGACAAGAGGTTGAAGACAATTAGCCACTTCGTTTCGTCTTCAAATTTCATTCTATGTGTTTTTGTGTTTGAACATATTAGTGGTTATATTCTCACACTGCTCAAATCCTAGAAGTAATTTGGAAACTACTCCAACACTATGATGTGCGGTGCCCAAATGTTTATTAATCTCATTCAACAGCTATATTACAAAGCCAGCTATGAGGTGACCAATGTACCATATCTCGACATTCTCAAGTTTTACAGCAGTATCAAAAAAAGGGAACCATAATGAAAGTAGACATTTGTCACAATTATAAATGTAAAATCTCAGTGAAATTGAAATGAGTAATTCGTTCGGTAAACTGGTCCGAATTTCTTCAGAGAAATTAATCGAAATAAAACATAAGAGAGGTTTATGTATAAAAAGGACATCACTTATTTATAAAAACTTTGTCCAATCGTATGAGTCATGAAACAGTCAACAAAATATAATAAACAAACAAAATTTTATGAGCTGTGATCAATATTTGACCTCAGAGTTCCAAATATTATCAAAAGTTTGCCTTGTGAGGATTGGACTTGTTTATACGAGTTTGATATCAATCCGTGGTTAAAATCGTATTTACAAGTATTAGTCTACTGTTGTTAAACACTTTAAACAGAGTTTTAGTGATCACGTTTGACTAAAAGTTCATGGTCGTAGATAACTGAATACGAAGAATATGTATGTATATATGCGGTACACAATGATGTGTGTGTGTGTGTGTGTATAGATAAAAAGTCATAAAATATTCCTTACTCTCTCCATAAGAAGATATAAACAATCGGGAATTTAGACCAAATATGACTAATTAGTGATACATATTCATTTTTGATTTAATAATCAGGATTTTTTCTGCATCAGCTAACATCACCCCTTCATGTCTGTTCAAACTGTTGGGATTCACCCATATATGCAAAGCTTCTACAGTCAGTCTTTATACGAACCAAAACCTTTCTATAGAACCTTGGTCCTGTCAAATTCGATTTCATGTCCTGTTTCTGTCGAATGCAGTGCAATCACTGATCTGTTTTCTGGTTTCTTCAAGTCTGCAGAGGTCTGAAAGTTTCTCTTGCATTTACGGCGTCACAGTCCCAACAATTGATCTGGTACACACAATCTGTTGGTTGTCTTCTATTTGATCCTTAACTTTCAGCAGTGATGAGTGTAACGTGTTAGTTGCACAGAAATCCACTCTTATATCATGATCGTTAAAAATTCGCTCTATCTCATCCGATGTTTCTTTGCGGTAAGGAATCACCGCTGTACTAACCCAAGTCTTAGCAACAGGTTTCGATTCATCCCTATGTTCACACTCTAAATATCTTTTTATGAAGGTTATGAAGGATAATTATGTGATTCAAGAGTGGAGTGAACCAATTTTAGTTCTTTTCATAATCTTCAGAGATCGTAACAACCATGGTACTGCCTTTATCTGCACCCGTAATGACAATCAATCTATCTTTCTGTAGTTGTTTTAATGCCAGTTGCTCGCTTCTACTTATATTCGGCACATTCGGCTTCTGACTTAGTAGTACCGCTGCAATCTTGTGTCTTATGATGTTTGCCTCTTTGGCTGTCGCACACTTCAATGACGGTTCAATTGCTGGAACTATTTCGAAAGCCGATAAATGCCTTTTGTTTAAATTAAGTCCCTTTTTAGGGAGGAATAGTTCATAGTCAGATAAATTCCTATCATCGGAGAGATTAACCACCCCTTTGTTCGTATCTAGAATGTTATGATTAGACGTATTTTCAAAATGATGGTGTTTAGGATTAGAGTTTAGTTGAAACATCCTGTCCAACTTTTTGATTTGTCTTCTTTTTCAAGAGTGAAGATACAGTTCTCCTTTAAACTAATATATATAGTCAATGACAGTTTTCAATTCTGGTGTAACCAAGACAGATAAGATTTCATCAATATTGGAAATACGCATTCGAAACGATTCCATGTTTACGGTTGCTCTGAAGCTCGGAGACTTACAGGGGAAAACCAACAAACTGGCTGAAGAGGTGAAAAGCGAAGACAGGAGGAGACGGAAATGATGAAGATAACCAGTCAGAGGCAATAACAACCAACATCAGTCACCATGTACGGGAGAGGTTTGACAGAGGTTATTTCCTGGCTTCACTTATCTAGGTAGCATCGTTTTAACCACACGCAGTTGGAATAGATGAACATGTCAAAGCCATCGAGAATCGATAACGCTAGTTACACCTTCTTCACTCTGAAATCGGTTTCGAAAACTTCTGCACTCAGCATAAAAAACAACAGTCGGATTTTTATCATTAAGGTTAAGGCAGTCACATCGTCTACATGAGTCAGCAACTCGGCGGTTGTGTCACGAAAATGATTTCCAACAGGCCACTGCAAACTTTTATGATCAACGCCTGCCTTTGCTGTCTACGTATTGAAGGTCAAATGGCTAGGACCAGAAAGAATTGGCACCAAGAAACTCTCGCTGGGAACTAACCAACTAGGAAGCGATTGATCAACGAGTATGTAGGAGAAAATGCAGTTGGATTGGGCATCCTGCGCCAGGCCATTACTCGAGTGGAATCCGAATGAGAAGCGACGAATGGATCGGCAGTGCGAGAGTGGCACTAAGGAGATCGTGCAAGGAAGAGATGAGAAACTATGGTCACTTTTGGACCCAGCTAAAGAGAACAGTAAGAAATAGAACAAAGTGGAGGTGTGTTGTTGAAGACCTATGTTCCACTCGGAACCCAAGAAAACCATAACAGTGCACATAATAATAGTGCCGAAGTCTTATTCTTACATTAGCAATAAGATAAGATACTGTTTTTCCTAAGTATATTTTTGAATTATTACATTACTCACTATTTGATGATGATTCTCCTATTTTCTTCTTTGACAATTCGTTCAAGAACTCAATGGTGGATAAAGCCTTCCTATTCGATGTTGCTAGTAAGATTTATTTGGCAACAGATTCGAATGCAGTAGATATGCAAACTTATGAATTATGCTGTGATATGATTGATGTCGTTGTAGATGTGGCCGCGATATACACGTAAGCTAATAATGACTTTTCTTTTACATGAAAATAGTTTTTTTTTCCATATCATGGTAATAATGATCATGATGGCTATATCGGTAGCATTGTGTGTGTGTGTGTGTGTGTGTGTGTGTGTGTCAAAGATCAAAAATTTTGTTGCTATTCATCATTTCTTCCTTGGATTCCTAGTGGAGCATAGAGCTTCTGTAGCTCGTCTCCATTCCACTATATTCTCTGCATTCTGTCTATTTAGCTGACACCATGATTGTGTATAAGTTTTCATTCTTCCTTACACGATGTCTTCCGTGCTACGCTTGAGATATCCAATCCATCGATCTCCATTCGTGTTCTACTCGTGGGCCTGGAGCTTGGTATCCTTCAACGTTCTTCTCAGCATATTTCCAATCCATCTACACTTCCGTCTGCATATTTATTGGGCGATAGGTTCTTATCTTCTGGTTCATTGCAGAATTCATCAAAGGTGCTTATCCTTTCCGGCTAAGACTACATGACCTTTAGTATGAATCGAGAGTAGATGTCATGAAATTCAACGGCTAGTTGGAAATGCTTTTGGTTGACACACTCGTCAAGTCTGTGTACTGTTTAGAAATAGTGACTTGACGTTGTTGTTGAAAATCCAAATGTTGTTCCTTATGATGATTGCGGTAAATTTTCCTACTGATTTCAGAGTAATGAAGGTATGTCTAGCTTTCCTAATCCTGGCTTAGACATCCTCATCCGCACCATCTGTAGTCCATACAGGTAAGTAAAAGGGATGACTTTGTGTGGATTCTCTCCTGTGATAGTGATTGGTGTTTGTCGATATCCTTATCGCCTCTGTCTTCTCTTTGTGTTCACTTGAACTCTTGTCTTCGCTAACTGCCTCTTCTGCCAACTTGTTGGTTTTCGGATGTAGATCGTTGAGTTTGTGAGGCATTGGACATAAATCACTCACAAAATCCAGATCTTCTACGATCTTTTTGTCGAGGTATCCGTCTTCTCGCTCCCCATGGTCTGTTTCATGACCTAGTCCACCACCATCAGCAATATCATAGATAGGTGACCACCCCAGCTTTCACTGCAAAGAGGGAAAAAAGCGTTGAATTATTTCATACTCGTAATTACTGGTGTGTAATTATTCCTCTACCACCCTTTTCACATATATGTATTTATTGATTATCCGATACATCTCTAGTTACTTCAGTCATTTGGCTTGCAGTGTTAGTAGAAGAAGTCGCTTGTGTTAAAAATACTGTTAGCGTACTTAATGTAACAATAGAAGACAAGAGACTTCGTAAGGGAATGCTTATTTGCAATTTGGTATCTCATTATAGCGAAATTATGTACACCCTATCTACAAATCATAATTTGCACAGATCTTCCGTAGTGTGCTACTTCTGTCCTTCGTATTGTGTTACTTTGTCTTCCTTTCCACGTCACGCAAATATCTCCGCAACGTTGAATCATTTGCTTCTTTTGACGTTAAATGTATCTCCCTGCTTTTTGATGCTTTTTAAGCCGATAAACGTCTCTTTATATTATTATTCCTTTGGGTTCCCAGTGGAATGCAAGGCTTCTGAGGTCCTCCTAAGCAGGGTCCGCAAATGACCACAGTTTACCATCTCCTTGCATGATCTTCTTAGTATCACCCTCGCACTGTGGACCCACTCGTTTCCCATTTTAATTCGACTTGAGTGATGGCCTTGCGCAGGATGTCACTCGATGGTTTTCTCAGCGTGTGCCTAACTTTCTCCATTTTCATCTATATTGGGCAATAGTTCTTGGTTTGGCTCGTCCCTAGTGAGAGTTTCTTGTTGCTAATTATTCCTAGATAATTAATTTTGAGTATCGAACCAGCGAAGGCAGCTGTTGATTAAAGTCTGCAATCACTTGTTGGAAATGACTTTCGTGACGCGAGCTGCAAGTTTATGACACACAGAAGAACTGACTGACTTACCATTAGTGTTTAAAATCCGAATCTTGTTATTTATGCTGCAGTCTGCAGAAGATTTCCAAGCTGATTTCAAGATTGACAAAGGTGTACTTTGCCGTATCGATTCTGTCTTTGGCACCATCCATGCCGACTGCCTGTGGTTCAAACAATGTTTCCTGGATAGGTGTAGCCATGAAGTAACTCCCGTCAAATCTCTGCCGTTGATTGTGATTCGTCTGTCAATATGCTTCTAATAAATCTTATAAGTAGCACACACCACACGAGTACTAGATGACATAAAGCTTAACGGTATCCACAACAATACTTTCTGTCTGAGTTGGCTAGACTGCTTATCTGGTGGTTATTTGATAAATCAAGGTGTAATCTGAAGGAGAGAAGGTTGACAGTTCCCTGCACACGGTTGGATAGGGCACCTGTTGCCCACTCCGGAGGCATGAATCGTCCGCTACATCGGAAGGCCCTTTTGTCGTCGGTGGCATAGCGGTTAGGACGCTCGCCGACCATGCACATGGTCCGGGGTTCGATCCCCGGTCACCGACGCACTCCTTTACCTCGCTCAGCCAGAAATAATGCTGGTAAAGAGGAAAGTTTGGGCATGAGGCTGGCAACCCCATCCTGTAAAATAAACACTGTTACAGAAACTGCAAGCCACTAGCTTGAAGCCCTATGTTCCACTGGGGAACGTGAAGGAAAAAAAACAGATGTAGTCTACGGTATTAATATCAAACATTATTTTTTGGAAACATTCGTGCAAAGTTGTTTCTTTTATTCACTATTTGCAATTGAAAACTGTTATAATTGTAAATGACATTAGGGTTTAGACTTGTTCTTACTGTTACTCCAACCTTCAAAAATTTACGACAAATCTTCCGAACACTATTCCTACCATGAAAAGACAAAAAGTACTAACTGAGAAGGCGAGAATTTATCGCTTCATGAAAGAGGGAATATCTGACTCAAAATGACAACCAATTACATGGTTATTTTGCTTGAGCTGTAAACCACTATATTTTGACTGGAGTACATACATTAATAAACAGCCATTGATATGACTTTGGATCTGCGTTAGGGTCAAATGTCTAATTTGCAGATCAGGTAAAAATATGACTTACAGTGTATCCTGCAGTCCGAATAATAAAAACGCTGATTTTGGCACATTTATGGCGAGAACTCAGGGAGCAATTAGATCAACAGTAAGTAATTCAACATTCTAAGCATTATATGTTCATGGCAATAAAGGTATTAATAAGACCGTGTAAGTCCTAGTCCTATGAATGTGATAAAGCTGATGTAGTGACACCATACAACAACAACAGCCAACATCTTTTATTTTATTCTGTTCTAACACTTAACGTTACTGTATAGTAGCATATTTTAGTTATCCCAATGATAATTAGCTGTGCACTTGGTGTTCCCATATACGGTTCCATAAGAGTTGTAACTTTTCGTTCAACTCTCTTCTCAATATTAGTTTTGATTAAAAAAATAATGCGTTTATTGTTTAGGAAGAAAGTGTGTGTGTCGACATGTTCTGTTGGAACATGGTAATATTTAGTAGCAAATTTTTTATTCGGCAAAAAGGTGAACAGTTATAGTAGAATGTGCATACTGTACACTAAAATTACCGCTTGCACAAACTCTTCATTTTGCGCATCTTTTGCCTTCATTTCATGCCATCTATATTGTTTCACAAGGTCCCCTTATTCTTCATTTGAATTACTTGGTCCATCGCTCCGCTATTGCAAAGGATATTACACACAATATACTACTAGCAGTATTTTGTCAGTAGTACATGTCACGAATGTTTATTTGAAATTTCACACTCACCATTAAAACTGAAATATTTGAAAGTGCATTTGCTGTGTGCGTCGGTGGCACAGTGGTTAGGACTGTCGCCGACCATGCACATGGTCCGAGGTTCGATCCCCTGCCGACGCACACCTGATATCTATGGTCCGCCTGCAAAATTTGGGCTACTGATATCCATGGTGAATATTCCATACACGTACCAAAAATACAGTGTGGAATCAAGCTGTAATCAAAAATTAAAAATAAATAAATCCATGGCTCATACTACTGACAAGGTTTGCAAGTAGTATGTAGATGCATATATAAATATGTATATTGCCTGCAGGAGTATTGATTAGCAGAGAGAAGAAACGACGGTTTCTTGCGAAACAACATGTAAAACATGAAAATAATACAAAGAGGCACAATGTGAAAGACATGTGTGATTGTGATTTAAATATACGGTAGATGTATTATGATATGATAGAGAAGATTTGTAGCTCAGGTGGATGATTTTGATGTGGTTTTGTTCTCTGAGCTGGATGGTTAGTTTGCAAAGCTTTCATCATCTTACTGGGTGACATCTTCAGCGCATACTTCAATTTGAAGTATTATGTGTTATGTTTGCATATGTACATCGAGTGGCCAATAAACAATTCCGTTACTGAATATTCTTGTTTTACTTGTGTTACTCTTCTGCAGTTACATCTTGATTGAATTTAACTGAATTCAGGCATCTTAGTAGATTATAATTCCATCATAAAATAATTTTATTTGATAAACATAAACAGTGATACATTATTAATTACTGATGATTACGCTTCGAGAACAATTTATTAATTCATTGAATAATCCCCATCCAGACATCAGTGAAAAACAAAACACACAGGTCACCAAAGAGTCTCTTTTCGCCGGCGAATTCATTCACTTAGCTGCACAATTGCTATTATATATAATTGTTTTTGTATTTATGTGTACATTAGTTTTGATACACAGGAATAAAAATAAGTTAGGTTTGTTTACGAAAAGCTAAGTGCACTTAAAAGTACCTCCAAAGTTTATAACCTCACAACACTTTTTAAAAAACGAATGCGGTCGACGAGGGACAGTGGCCTTATTTTTATGTGGTGAGGTTGCTACTTTTACGCCCAACTTTCCCTCTTCACTTACTTACTACCAGCTAAGTTAGGGGGGGGGTGCTTCGGCCAGTGATCGAACCCTAGATTACATCATGGTTTACGAGCATTCTACCGCTGCGCCACCGACTCACTTTGATGCTCCTAATGGTCTTGAATTAAATGACAGTAATGTATCTTGATGTTCTATAAAGCAATCTATGAAATGATATTCAGAGTGTTAAATTCTTATCATAGTCTGTTTGGTTATACATCACAGAGGAATACACTTGCGCCGACTGTTTAGTAAACAACAGACTGTGTGTTCTGAATAAATTAAATCCCGTAAAACGTATCAGTGAAGATTATTGTTCAAAGTTAGATCTGCCTTTGGCTTTACCCACCCACGCCCCCACTGCTATACGTAACCTTAAATCTACATAAAACGGTAGTTTTCTTCACATTCCCTGTAAAAATGAACGATGTACACCGCTTAATTTGAATTAGGTATAAATAGTGAAATGACTAGGTTAATAACACACCTTAACAACTGCGCTTATTGTAGAGTTGTTATTTTGACGTAACGACAGAAGCGATGTAGATATTATGAATTAAGAAAATCTTTATGATGTATTTATTCTGAGGGCTTTAGAGTTCTCACCAGACATGCCTCACGATCCTCGGCCGATGCATCCCTTAGCCGGTAATAGGACCGGTAAAGACGGAAGGTTGGGCGTGAGGCTAGCAATCCCACTCCGTAAAAAAAAGTATCGTTGCCGAAACTTCAGAGCTGTTGCTTGAAGCCCTATGTTCCATTAGAAAGGTAAAGGAATAAAATAATAATAAAAATAACAGAGTTCTTGGTAGTCTTTGACAGTATGGCATGCCTCATAATCATATCTAGGCTTCAAAGGTAAACACAAATTTGCGTTTTCATGAGTTTATGCTGCCATGTGTGACCTGCTGCATCAAGAATGCTTCGTTTTCACTTGTGTCCAAATGGCGCTCGTTCAAACTGGGGTGTGGGGGGTCCGTATTCAGCCTATGTCATATCATTCGTCTACCGAATTCAGTCCAGTCCTGTTTCTTTTATTTCAGCCCTCGATCTAATTTTGTTGATCCGCCAGTTTCTGAACAAACTGGTGCTACCATTATTTTAAACAATGACAGAGCATTATATTTACGTGGAATCAATCAGTATATGGCATTAGCTTGTTTAATGTATGAAGAGTCATTGGAAAAAATGGGTATGTATATTATTTATATAATCGATTGTGTTTACCTGATCATTTTGCATTACTTATGTCGAAATGTGTTGAAAATTTTACAGTACTCGTATTACTGTGTTGTGTGAGGTAATAATAACAAAATCCGCTGTAAGAATAAACCGTCATTACATATGTACCTATTGGCAGCTATTCATGTTATGATCAAAACATAAAAACCATTTTTTCGGGACTTAAATCGATACGGGTACTTGTAATGCCCTCCTATTAATTTTATTGGGCTATTTACTAAACGGAACTGACCACTTTGGACAGCCTACATCGAAAACACTAAATAACAATGAGAGGCAAACACTGCCGGCAGCTCAAAAGTTGGCTGACTGGTCAACTGGGGACATGACTAAGAAGCCTATATGCCAAAAAATGTAGCCAGCAGGTTCTTCTCGTCAGGGGGTTTAAAAGTCCGAACTATTGTTATTTTTGTTCCCTTGGGTTCCGATTGGAACACATGGCTTCAGTAGCACACCTCTGCTTTGTCCTCTTTTCTCAAGTCCTCTTGAGTTGGACCTGCGATCGCCCATAATCTCCCACCACCTCCTTGCATGACCTCCACGTCGTTGTCGGACGTCCTTCTTTCTTCCCTTCCTGATGATAGTTGACGAATACTGTCTGGACTTGTTAAGTATGATTATTTTCCTTCCAGGTGAAGCTTTTTATTCGTTCTCTACTCATATTTTTACTTTCAATATATCTTGTTTTATTATTATTGTGTGGCGCATCGTCTTGGTGCTATATTTTACCAAGTTTTACTGCTTCCCAGCTTCGTAAATTGTACGATCATTTCACATCGCCATTCTTAATTTTGCTTTCATCGAAAGAAGACACATCGGCTGACTGGCTTCCCGAAGGCTTTCACTAGCGAGCGTCATTTTGCCTCTCCGATTCCGACGAAAAACAAATTTCGTTTTTATATTTTGAATATTTGTATTGTGCTTTGAGGTGTCTCAGCGGTTAGGACGCTCGCCGACCATGCACATGGTCCGGGGTTCGATCCCCGGTCACCGACGCACCCCTTTACCTCGCTCAGCCAGAAATAATGCTGGTAAAGAGGAAAGGTTGGGCATGAGGCTGGCAACCCCATCCTGTGAAATAAACACTGTTACAGAAACTGCAAGCCACTAGCTTGAAGCCCTATGTTCCACTGGGGAAGTGAAGGAAAAAAGCAAAAAGAAAGCTTTGAGGTGTCTGCAGCAGTTCAGTTGATTTCCTGGGGATAGAGCCGCTAGCCTCTCTCACACCCAACCGTCTCTTATTTCCCTGGCTTGTTATCGGCTAGAAAACTAACGAGCTAGTAAAGTAGGCGAGGTTATAAATCCGAATTATGATTCGCTTTTCAAGTACCTGCAAGTTATATTTCTTACTGATATGATTATGAGCAACAAATTGTTCTCGAAATGTCATCAGTAAATATTACTGTTTAAGACTGTGAAACCTTATCAAAATAAAATTTTACCCATAATACAAACTGCAGTAGGGTGCCGTTTGAAACACAATGCTGTCGATATCTTAGTACTGGCAACGGATACACGTAATAATGTTGTGAACAAAAAATGAACTCATCTAGCGTATTGAACAATATTAATCTAATTGTATAGAAGTGAGTGATGAACATTAAATCTCATTAATAAAATTTGAATGATGTAAGCTGTACACTTTTTTCAGCTATTTTCTTCTTCCTTCTTCTAGGTTTAATAGAGTTTAACTTTCGTGTCATTAAGAATGCATTACAACAAATGTTAGAATTGAATCAACAGCATGCAAAACAAGAACTAGCTGCAATGTTAATGCATCAGCCTACATCGAATCCTATACCAGAAGATGACGAACAAGAAGAAGGACCAATAAATGATGAGTTTGATTCTTATGGAAATGATGAACAGATTGATGATAATGAACGGAAGATTAATGAAAATAATATTGTCTATGCCAACAGAGAGTTAAGAAATGGGTAGAAAAAAAGAACTCTCTTACTGTTGTCACATTTGTAATCTCAGATCATTTTTATTTTACTATGCATACATATATAAATGATTTTTGTAAGTATACTGACAACTACCGATGATTTGCTGATTTTGTTTCGTTGATTTACTTTTATTTAGCATTTTTCCTACCTGTATCTAATCACATACACATTATGCCAAGCTTTAAAGAAACTATTTTCTCTATTCTTATTGTTGGGAGATTTTGAGAATAATTCTTTCTTTGTGAATGCCCACTGTAGTTTGAAAATATTTCGTGGGATCACAAGTCTGTAAAGACGGAACCTAACCCAATTAGTGCTGTTATTATTTCAGCTTACATTTTCATCAGTGTACTGAGATGTCTGGGGAATATTGTGGAATAGGTTAAATTTATGAACTTAAGGATCAGATGTCCTAATACGCTATATATGTATATGTGGTCGTCTGATGTTAAGGGATTGAATAAGGCCTCACGCATCTGATCGGAGTATTAGTCGAAGAACTTGCAAGTTCGTATTGTCTAACTATGTCTACTTTGATATCATTTCATCGGAAAGTGGACTAAGTTGACCAATGCACTTGATGTTATCTACTTGAACTCTGTCCATTATTGTGGTTGAAATCCGTGTGATTACCAGAATCTAAGGGTAGAAAATCCGGGTGATATATTTCAAGACATAGCGCACTGATCGGTGCGTGTGCACACACCTTATTTTTATCACACTTCTTTCTCTTCAGCAGTTCCTTTCTCTATTACCTTTGATTACATCATGTCCAGCTCTTGGTTACCTCTCACCTGATGTGCAGGTATGGTAATTGGTAACTTGAACAACTACGCAGTTATGTAAAGACCTTTTTGCGTATCATGACCAATTGACAAACCTCAAACCTACTTTTACAGAACTGAGGACAAACACACTGTCAACTGTTTATTCTCTTTGTTCTATTTCAGCAAACAATTTTGTGAGATCTTGTGCTTTCGTTTGTGTCAAGCTGTGGCTACCGGAAACATGGAATCACCATGACTCCAATCAGTCATAGCTATGTGAATCTTCACAATGTTTAGGGGTATCTCGAGGCCTTTAGACTTTATCTAGAGTTGTGACCTAGCACTTCAGAATTCTGCAATATGTAATTCAAATACGATGCACCTAAGCCACCCGGTATACACTTCCATGTGTTGAACTGAGTGAAAGTTGAGATGTGGGAGTTTATAATACCACCCGTTGATTCAGACCAAAGCAGGCGCGATATGGTTGGATTCTGTCATTTGAGTGACAACTGCTTAAACTGATGAGCCGCACTTCTGTTGAGTATTGTAATAGAAGTTTAAAATAACGCCAAATACAACGTAACATTTGCCATGATGAAATAATTTCGATACATGAGGATTGCGACTCATTAATACCTTTTGTAGTCAGCAAAAAGCCAACAAGATGCCGGCAACAATGTAATTGTGTATTAATGCTATTTCTTTTTTTCTATTCCTTTACGTTTCCAGTGGAACACAGGGCTTCAGGCTAGAGGCCTGAAGTTTCAGTAGCACTGGTGTTTATTTCACGGGATGGGTTGCTAACCTCATGTCCAACCTTCCCTCTTTACCTGTCTTATTACTGGCTTGGCAAGGTAAAGGAGCATGTCGGTCGGCGATCAAACGCCGGGCCACATGTATGGTTGGCGAGCATTCTACCGCCGAGTCACCGACGCATACCGCCATCTCTACATGGCATTAATTACGACATAAGCACAACTCCCTATAATTCTAACAGTAGGACTATTACATAAAGATTCTGGAAGTGGACAGAAATTTCTCCGGCGAACCACGGCTACACTCGCTTCTCTGCAACTTAGTTTTTAAATAAAGCAAAAGAGTTCCCTGAAAATTAATCAAAAACAGAGATAATTCACAGACCGACATTTCGAGATGTCTAGGTGCCTGCGTTTAAATCCCAGATTCGACTTCTTAATTGCAAATGACTTACACAGACAAGTAAAGTACCACAATTAGATCAAGAATGAAAGTTGGTGTTTATCAACGGTTATGCCGTACCATTCCCATATCTGGCCCTTCTCTTGCCATTTCTAAGATATTACTAAACCATATTAGTTAAGAACACGCCTGATGATAGTGAATTCAAACAAAATACTACTACAGCTGCAACTAAATTTGGTGGAAATACCCTGAGCAACTTCCTGAAACTTTTCACGCATAATTCGTAGCTACATAGCAATTATTCGGACTTGGAATATATTAGCTTTTTGTCTACATTCAAGGTGTTCTCATGTTTAACTCAGCTGCATAAGCCAAAACTTAATCAATAAAACAAAGCGGTCGACCGTATTCAGAACCAACAGTTTATTCCTTCGTTACTCTACTCGATGTTGTATTGGGAACTACAAGTCGGCAAACACTCCCAGATACACATAAAGCAAGAAAGTGAAGCGAAGTATAATGGTATGGGAAGCTTGGCGTTTACAATGCATATTGAAAGCCCAAAACGAGTACCGTTTCCATTTCCTCAAGAATACCTAATACATATGAACTGAATAGATTACCTAACTTGTCTTTCCAGTTACATGTTTTACTGTGGACAAATCACATTAGCTTTCGCCACTTGTGACTCTACTCTACTTTTCACCCACAGGTGCTATTTGATATAAAGTTTCTGGAACTGAATTAAAGGTGTTACTATATAAACTAAAAAAATATCGTTCATGAGCAGCAATGATTTTCCATTAACAGCTATGACAACTACTCCGCTGAGTTATAATCTCTTAAGAAGCATTCAGATACGTAGTCAAATTACGTATCAAGTTAACTTGCTGTAAATATATACAGTACTTTAAATACTGTGCCAAAATAGTTACATAACTCGTGATGCTTTCTAGTTCCGTTCCAACACATACGAGCGTATCCAAGTAAGCATAACTAATGAACAGGCACCTAGTTGAGAGGGTAAGTCTAGATAAGACAACATTTAGTTGCAAATAAAAACTAAACTGGGAGTGTTTGTGACTACAACCAACTTGAAAATGTATTTATGAAAACTGAAAATTCGTTATGCTTCAAAACTTGCTGTCACAAAGAATACATTTTGAGGTGCTTAAGCAGTTTGGGCTCATCTATTTAACAAAATGAAGCAGAAGGGGAAGTATCCATAGACGCTCGCTATAGTCACAGTGAAACACGGCATCAATTCATAAGGTATCTAACCGTTCGCTAGGTCATTAAGCAGTTTAGTATGCCAAATCCTTCACCTGTAGGGAATTAATGTTGGAATTTATTTGCCTGATACCAGCGACATTCCAAGCCCCACTGTTGCAACGTAAGACGTTTGCTCAAGTCCCTTCAACTAGTTTGTTGTACAAGACTTGAAAACTAAGCATCAATCACGTGCTGAGTTCTTCGTAATACTTTTAATGGATGGGGACAAGGCAATCAATTAATATACAACTGTAATCAGGCAAGCTGTTTGGCCTGTTTCTGAAAAATATTAATGATGAGCACACTTATTAGCCGTGACTTCACAACTGCAATTTTTATCACGCAGTTAAAGCAGCAATACAATAATCCACTGACACTATCCACATTTTCGGGAGGATTCAAACATCAAAAACAATTTCAAAGATATACACAGAGCAACAGTTACTGTCGGAAACATGGACAGACTCAGTGACTAGCACGCCATCACAACAAAAGCATACCAGTGGAGTACTTTAAACATCGTGCGATGAGAATTAGAGGTACCAACAAGTCGATATTTCGGTGCCTTCAGACCTACTTGGGAAGCATCTTCTACGCGGGTCAAGCCATCGCATTCGTCATCCAGTAATGGCGACTGACACAAGGTTAGATTGGAAGACAGTGGTGCTGTCTCAAACTACAGCACTACCACTTTAAATCTCCAACTGTAGGTTCGAGCGAAGTAGACTGTCCAGTTAGGATCCTCAAGTTCGTAAGAACCAATGCCTAGAACTGATTCTCATTGCACAGATGTACCCACACTATTCAGCCGGACCCATCAATTTCTCGCCAACTATCATGTACTTGGGCATATACATTTTCCCATTCCTTGTAATCCGTTCAATTCTTCCCATACAGTTGTGAGCATATTCAGTGCACATTTGAGTATAAGTCAGGCTAATGATGTGAGACAATGGCGGAACCTCTAGTATTTCTAAGTAATGATTGATCAACACAAAATGATCAGCCATATAGATGGTAGCCTAGTCATCTAACAGTTTGTTAGCCATACACCCTGACAATTTTACGGCCCTTAAAATCCCTACTATAGTGTCGTGCAGTTCATCATCAGAACATCCGGAGCACGGTTACCACTCGCCAATGGAAGGCATTTTGTCTCAACAGTATCCTTGAAACAAGACTGATGTGCTAACCTAATCGAAAAGTTATCATCCCGAGAGCTGCACAAATTTTTATGGCACTATGACATACAATCAATAAAAGTAACGGTGAAACGTGAATCTATAAAAACTGTTTCATTAGCACGGGTCATCAGCTCACCTCCCAATGTGCTGGTTCCAAATAGATGATAACCAGCAGCGAAGTGTTAGCCACCACACGCAAACACCCAGATTTAACCAGAACAAATCACATCATATACATCCCTTTATTGTGAGAACATTAACGCAATCTTCTAGCTTCTCTTTCCGTCTCCAAAAGAGTTAAAATATCGCCTTCACGAATTGGACCTTTTACGTTTCGTATAATAGTTCTGTTGGTATCGTCCAGAAATTCGACGCGAACCTGCGTACACTGTCCTTGTGATCCAGTTCTACCGACAACTGCCTTAACCTGAACAGTACATTAGGCATAAAATAGTATAAATTACCTACCCTAGCAAGCTTAGGTTGCACAGCACCTTTATCCATGTTGCTTACTTTGAAAGTGTATCGTACGAAAGTACGCAGCTCAACAAACGTTCAATATACATGTACTGATTTGAAGTTCACTTTCAGACTTACTTATCACGTACAAAGTCTTAAATTCTCTGTCAGTTATTTATTAACGCCTATTTTCAACATGATAAAATCGAATTAAAAAAAGGGCAATCCTACTTACAAGACTGAGCTGCATAATCAAAAACCTCGGTCTGGCAACACAAGCAGTGCAAAATATTTACCTCATAGAATGATGAACCTGATGTGTCATTCAGTTACTGACAACCCCGGTGGGTTGAGATTCGTTAGTCTTACTTTCTGGGAACCATTTCAGTTCATCTGGTTGAAAGCATATCATGGACCGAGTCAAGGTCTGTTAGATCCAATATCCAATATCCTGATGACGAGCTAGTATAAACCAGTGATTTCTTTGAGCTCGCTTCTTGATTGTGAGGTAGAGGTTCCAGATCTTCGGTGAGCTTCTGCGTAGTAAGTCCCGCCACTCGACTGCTTTAGCTCTGGTAGACTCCAGGAGGAGTGGTGCGGGGATTGGTCGAGATGTGGTTTGTAGTATGCAGTATGTTAGGACTGTATTGCTGCCGTGAATGGAGTTTGACCTAACTCCCGTTAATCATTCGGTGTAGTCATAAAAGCAGAATAGTAGTAATAATAATAAGAATAAAAATAATGGGTTGTAGTGTAGATAATCTAGGTTGAGATAAGTGGAATAATAAAGGTGACCTAAGGAAAAGATAGAGTGAGAGAAGGCAGAATAGGTCGTGGGGTATTAGTTTGTACGCTTATCCATTGACAGTGTGGTTTCAAGTTTTATGGGGATAAGCCATTGAGACACAAACCTTGCATTTCTGCATGATTGTCTAGCTTCCGCTTAAAATTCTCCAGAGAAGGCGCTGTAGTCACGGCCGCCGGTAAAGCGTTCCAGAGACGGCAAACACGAAGCGAAAAGAAATGTGATCGCACTCGAGTCTTTGGTCTCTGGTGTGCTATCCTTAGCGGGTTACCCCGTGGAAGCCTATAGTCACTTAATGGCAAGATGCTTTTATTTGGATGGGCCTGGTCATTTAGGATTTGGTAGACGGTGATGAGGTCTCCCCTGTGCCTTCGGTAACTAAGTGTGAAAAGACCTAATTTCTTTAGTCGTTCCTCATATGATTTGTTGCGGAGGCCAATCACCCATTTCGTCGCTCGTCTCTGAACACTTTCTAGAATGTTAGCATCCCTTTTGAGTAGCGGAGGTGCAATGATATTATGCACCTCAAGGTGTGGCCTCACATATGCCTTATATAACCTTAAGAACAGTTCGGGAGTAAGAGCTCCCAGCTGCCTATGCATAAAGTGTAAAGTTGCGTAGGCTTTGGCGACGTCCCTCGCGTAATTTCTACTGATGTCTAGCTTTTCTGTCAGAATAAGACCTAGGTCTCGCTCTGATGGAACACAACTCAAGTTCTGGCCACCAAGGGTGTAATTTACACTCTGTGACCTGCCGGAATGAAGTTGCACTACTTTGCACTTCTTTAGGTTGAAAGGCATTCCGTTAGCCAGAGCCCAGTTTCCCAGAGTTTTCAGGTCAGCCTGCAATCTGTCTGAGTCTTCCGATGAGTTTATTGCTCTCCAAATCTTTACGTCTCTCGCCTAAGTAATCTGTCCGCCATGCGAGAAGTGTTCCAGAAACACCCGCCTTGCTTATTTTGTGAAGGAGCAGACCATGGTGAACTGTGTCGAATGCTTTCGCAAAGTCGAGAAAGATCACGTGGGCTGGTACCTTTTTGTCCCAGGATAGTGTCCAATCGTTCCAGCTAGTAGAAGATTCGTCACGCAGGATCTTCCCCTCCTGAAACCGTGCTGTGCTTCGTGAAGAAGGTTAGTCCCATCGAAGTATTTTCTCATGTGGTCGTCAATGAGACTTTCCAATATCTTCGATATCACTGGAAGTAGAGCAACTGGTCTGTAACTGGTCACATTCTGCCGGTCACCACCCTTGAAGATAGGGGATAGGATTGCTCGTTTCCATTCACATGGAAGTTTCCCTACATCAAGGGAGTGTTGGAACAGATCACTTAGGGGTTGCCAGAGACTTTCTGAACACTGCTTCAGGACAGATGGTCTGATGTCATCACAACCTGAGACTTTCCCGAAGCCAACCTTCCCAATTTTGCAAGTACCATAGCCGGGGTAATTTGAAATGTCCCCAGCAGGTTTTCGCGTGTTGGTTTTGCGATGTAATCTGGATGTTCTGTGGGGTAATATCCTCGTTACTGTTTAGTTGCCTGTGAAAGGCTAGGCTGAATGTCTCTGCCATTTCAAGACTAGTAAGAGATTTCCCATCAGAACCCACTAGATTGCATGCTCCCTGGTTGGTCGGTTTTCTTTCGGACATAAACCTGTATAGGCTTTTGGGGTTCACGAGAAGCTTATTGGCGAGGTCTCCCTGAAATGTCCTTCTATCGCTCCGGACTCGTATGTTACATCGATTCCTGAGTTCAAGGTACACTTCATATTCGGGTTGACTCTTCGATCGTCGCCACGCGAACCAGGCTTTTCGCTTTGCCTGCAGAAGGCGTTGTGTCCCCTTTTCAGCCATGATCGTTGCTTCCTAGCTTTTGGTGAGACTAAAGGAACAGTGTCTGAGACCGCCTGGTGAATGATCTCCTTTACCACTCTCCAGTGTTCTTCTACTGTTAGCTCTGTCCATTTTTTAGGCCAATTTGCTTCAGACAGAAGTCTTCGCATTTTGGTGTAGTTGGCTTTGTTATAACACAGATAGGGCTGTGTATTGTCCCACTGTAAGCGCTCGCGGAGGACTATGTCGAATACTATGACCGCGTGGTCACTACTACCTATGGGAGTCGTGATCTGAACGTTTTCCACTAGTAGCTGGTCACTAGTGAGCACGTAATCCAGTCTAGAAGACTTCCCATCAGGGCCCCATCTAGTATCCATCTTGACATTTTCAGTGAATCCAGCCTTCCTGATGGTATGCAGCAGATTTCGATCAAATCTATCATGGGCTTTTCCCGACACCAAGTTAAGAGATGGGGCATTGAAGTCACCAGCTATGACAATTTGATCATAACCCATGTCTTGAGTTGCTGAGATTGTATTTAGCAGTACCTGGTTGTGGTCTGCTCCACATGAAGGTGATCGATAAATGCTGCCCACTAGATATTTGCAGTACCCAACGGTGAAGTGGCACCATATGGAGTCAGGGAGCTCTGTGAGGGGAGGGTCCGTCGCGTGAACACATCTGAGCTGTTTGTCGACGTATATGGCGACTCCACCTCCTTCTTTCAGGTCCCTATCTCGCCTGACTAGGACCATATCATTTATACTGACTTCGCTGTCTGCCACCGTAGGGGTTAGCCAGGTTTCCGTCAGTATTATGATTTTGGAGTTCAGTTGTGATTGTAGGTGTCTAAGTTCAGCTATTTTGCCTCTTAGCCCTCTCACATTACTGTACAGGCAACTGGTAGTCAGTCTCACCACTTCCCCGTATTGGGGGGTAGTTGACTTGATATTGGCTATCGGTTGAGGAGTTATCCTACGAACTAGTTGGCCGATTCCCCAGGAACCGGCCTGTTGGCGTTTTTTTCTTCTAGTTCAGTCGGAGCACTCGGATGACACTGGCTATCATCGTCCGTGCTGCACCGCTGTAGTGTGACTAGGGGTTGAGGATTTTTTTACTACGCTTTGTTCTCTCCTTTGAGTGCGAGGCCGGCTCTCGCAGCAGCGAATGTGTTTGCTGACCTTGTCCTTGGTCTCGTACCATCTATGGAGAGCGGTAGTCAACTGGTCTTGGGAGCTGAACTTGACAGCTAACAGACGTGGCGAGTTAATTGACATAAGATGAGTGGGTCGAGGCAGTCTATAAATAGAGACAGCCCCTGAACTCCCAGGGCCATCTGGGATGCCAACCATCTCCATTGTTGTACATCATGACAATGCTTTTCGCAGGCGTTCCCAGTTACCAGTTCGGGAATGCCATGCACAACCATGGAGGCAGAAGGAATGAGCTCTGGCGACTCCCTCGCCATTTGTCTTTCCTTCCACGGCCTGTCTGGCTTAACACGTATGTTACAGGCCCTCCCTATAGAAAGGACTTGAGAAGCCAGTAACACTTTTTCAACATCCTCGGTAGAGCCCAATGTTACCCTCAGTGGGGATGGTTTGCCTTCAGGTGCAGCAGTGCCCCTATACAATCTGCATAGATTTACTGGTTGGATGTCCAAACCCAGTGTGCTACACAAGATGGACCACTGTTCCTGATCAAATAGGGCCCTATCTTTCAGCAGACTACTGCTACAGTCTGGTACATTAAAGAGGATTACACAATTTGATCTACTAACCGTGGGCTTGGGCTCGGTCCTCGCACATTTGTGATCCTTTAAGACCGTTTTGGTTTGTCTGGTGCGACTGGGTATTTTTTGTGTCTCAGTGCTGTGGCCAATATTACTGGCAGACGAGAGGGGTCTTTTTCCAACGACGGAAACCCGTGGTTCTCCAGCCTCTGTGTCTGGAGCGGTTATGTCAAGAGTTACAGGTTTAACCGGTGAGGATTTTGGTATCCCCGGTTTACGCGCATTTGTACTAATTTCCGGATTGGTGGTGGTCGAACATTTCATATTTTTCCCCGCTACTTCTGCACCATCTTTAGTTTTCAAAGGACTACGCGAGGCTACATCAGGACGGCAACTCGGGCATATGTACCAGAACCATTGGCATGGGTTTTTACGCATAAAGTCATAATATGCTTTTGGTACCCCATTGTCGCATCTGCAATGCACCCATCGCTTGCAAAAGTTACATTCGAAAGCAGAGTCTGCTTGTTCGACAACAGAAGCGCAGACCTTGCAGTCGTCTGCCTTCTTGGGGAGCGTTCTTGTCGTCTTGCGACGTCGTGAACGTTTCTTTTTGGCCTTCCTATTTGTTTCATGGTCTACCATGGGGATGGGTGTTATGCAGTTCTCACTTAGTGCAATTTTCCCACTCGGATCTGTTAACCTAGTCATGTTAACAGGGGTGGAGCCACATCCACTTGGCTGACTTTGCACAGCTTCACTGT